TTAATTTTGCAAATATTTAATATTCATAAATTCTCTAGAAATATCTTTAGTAAAATTTAGAAGTAGATTGATGCATGTCTAGACTTCATTTCCTTGAATTAATTTGGAGACAAATAATAGTCGTACTAGTATAAAAAATAGTGTTTCTGTTTGCACCCAAATTGGATATTTGGACCACCTAGACATGACTCCAAGCCACATCAGTAGCCTACGCGACCAATTAACAATTCTTATGGCCTTGGCTATCTTGGTCGGGTGTATCATACACCAAATAAGAGGCAACTATTACTGTTTAATCAAAAGATATAGTCTGGAGTGACAAGTCTAAAAAAGGGCTCTCAAGTACCTAACAGTCGGGTAAATGTCTTTTGTTTTTCATATCAAGTTTGGGTGTAGCCAACATGTCACATTCATGTCAGTTAGAGGATGGCACATCACATGCAACGGTAGTTTCTTCGCTTCTTCACATCAACTTCATCACAGCTATACATGTGACGCCAATCAAATAGTGGACCTCATTTCTCCAACACTATAAATAAAATTCATTTATGATGAAGAGGAGGTCCTGCACCACACCACATTTTTTTCATACATTGTATCTCCAGCCCTAGGCCTACTATCCTTAGCTTTTACAGTATTCCTTTACATTATAGTGTAATCTTGGGTTCGTATTTCCTTACACTTAATGCTTTCATAGTGTAACTTAGGTTTAAGTGGTTGTTCTTTACATGATTTTTTAGTGTAGCTTACAGATTTTAGCTGAAGTTTCATTTTAAGTTTGTAACTTGGTCAACTGTTAAACTAATGAACCCTTTAGCATGTAACTTGGACCCTATCCTCTCTATTGCCCAAGAACTAGTAAAAAAATCACAAGAACAAACGATATACATAGTTCACCCAAAATTTAGGATTACCTTCACAAAATGCCATGAATAAATTCTACTATGAAAGTATGAAGGATTACAATGAAGATCTTCCTCTCAAACTCTCAACTTGATCTCCCTCTCTCTCCTGCGCAGACACAAAATCTTTTGACAATTAAGGTACTTACAATTCTTACATAATTATCCCTCAGTTGTCTCTCACAAAACCTTCACTCACTTTTGCACATAAATCACTTTATGTCTCACCCCCTAAAGTCTAATTAAGGTTAGTATAAATAGTCAAGCACCACTTCCCCTACAAGTCCAGGCAGGTTGGACCTGTCCATCTTAATGAAATTACCATTTTGGACCGGTCCACTTTGTCTAGTAGCGAAAATTTTCCGCAACAAACTAACTTGGACCGGTCTATTTTGATCAGTAGCCAAAATCATCTAAAGCAACAGCTGGATGGGTCCGTAAATCATGAACTAGTCCAAGTCACTTAACTTATAATCCTTCCAAGTGAATGTCAACATAACCTCAACACTACATTCTGCATTAGTCCTAACTAAAGAAATTTATTGCATTATCCTACTCTAATATCAAACTAGATTTCTAATACTTTATTTCTATCTGCATGTATGTTTATTGTTGTCTTGACCACCAAGCACATTAGCGGAACCTACAAGAACATACAACTGCATGTTAATTTTTTTTCTCGTTTTTTCCCCTCGAATAACTAAAAGTCCAGTTAGACATATTTGTAGGACACCTAATTGTGTGTTGGCAAATTTCCTAGTCAAAATTTGCGTATTGAATTATTATTTTTTATTATTTTTTTAAGTCTCGATTTTGAAAGCCCAAGAATGATTTGACCATCACAAATTTGAACACCACTTACCTCAAGTAAATGAGTCTGGTGAGTACACCTTGCACATTATTTTAGTTGAAGTGATTTGTGAAAATTCTAATGCTGTATTTTGGGGCACGGAATTGGTGGCTTGAATTTTAATTAGTAAAAATTTAGCCTAAACAAGTTCAACTCTTAGTGCATAGACTTCATGTTTCTCTAAAATATTGTCCTCCGTAACAAAGTTTATAGGAATGTAATTAAAAAAATAGAACAGGTCGATTATATTGTACTCCGTAACAAAGTTTCTCTAAAATATTGTACTGTGTAACATTTGTTTCTTTTGTCCCAATTACTAATTAAAAAAATAGAACAGGTCAACAGATTCAATCAAATCATTCAGACACATAATTATTATAGGTCAAATTACACCCGTATCCCCTCTATTTTGAATTAAACTTACTCTAAATATGATATTAAATTTATGATATTAAAATTAAACTTACTCTAAATATGATATTAAATTTATGTTCTTGCAACATCGCAATAGGCAACGTTAGTAATAATATATATCATGCAACAATAATTATTATTCTAAACTAAGGGTGCAACTTGGGTTGGGTAATTCGAACTCAACCCGAGTTCAGCCCAATTTTTTACGAATTTGGACAATTATTTTTATAATTAGGGTTAAGTTTGGGTTGAAAAATCTTAACTCAAATTTAATTGGGGTTGAGTTTGGGTTGAAGTGCTAGCAACTCGACTTAACCCAAATTCAAATTATAATATTATTATTATTTATACATGTTTACTTTTAAATACATTATATATAATAATTAAACCATGATTACTTTTTTTTCTTTTCAACTTTTTTTGTTAAATCTTAACTTATTGTATGTTAACATTTAGGAGAATTAATTTTTTAAAAATTTGTTTGTAATTTATTAAAATGTACAAAAAGTCTTTAAACTTTTTTCTTGTTTAAGAGTAATTTAATCTAAAACTAATTCAAAATCATATTAAATTTTCGATGTAAAGATTATTTATATAAGTAATCCAAATTAGCCTGAAGTTTTTACCCGGAATTTAAAACCGAGTTGCAAGTCCGAATTTAAAAGAAGAATGTTGACCAACAGGCCTTTGGCCTAACGGTACAAGGCTCCTACTTCCCAAAGGGATGTCAGGGGTTTGAACATCAGTGGAGGCAGTGTGTGTGAGTCCTAACTAGGAAAATACAAGAGTAGAATGATGGGTTGGGCTTGGGTTGAGTAGTTAAGGATGAGGATAGGATTAGGGTTGGGCTTAGGTTTAGCATTTCATATGGTGGGTTGGGCTCAAGTTATATTTCAAATCCGCCAAATCTGCCCGAATTGCAGCCATATTCTAAACTTATAAATAGATGTCTATCTTGTAAGAGAATGCTAAAAATAATAAGAGTAATGATAGGCAACATGAAAGAAAAAACAAGAAAATTTCCTGAATTTGATTTGGTTAAGCCACGTCAGAATTAAAAAAAAAATAGAGAAAGAAAAAAAGAAACACATAGTGCAAACTCTCCAAAATAAATTGGATGGAGAGAGCAAAAATAAAATAATCACAAACTGTAAATTACTTATTCCCGTGTTCCATAAATTTAAATTTTTATTATATATACTCTGTATAAATCAAATATTTATTGTTTTAAAATTTATATTAAGGAATTTTTAATTTATAATCTATTCATCCTATTAAAGTTCTACAAAATGTATTTGTCTTTTAGAGAAAAAGTAAGGGTCAAGAGTAAATTTACAAAAGTGACTCTTGAAGAATAGTGTTGTATATATCCAATTTTGGAGAATTTTTATTTTCGTGTTTTTGAGGGAAAAGAGAAAGCACTATGTTTCTTTTTTTCTTTTTCTTTTTTTTTTTCTTACAGTTTTTTTTTTTTTTTATACCATGTCCGAGAGGGGACTCTTTCTTTTTTATTTCTGACTTGGCTTAGCCAAATCAAATTCGGGGAGTTTTGGCGTTTTCTCTTTTGCTCAGGGACCTATACTACGGATCGAAGCCCTAATTTTATGTGCAATCTTGCTTAGACTCTAGATGTAGACAGTATTTTTTTTCTTTTTCAAGAAACAAGATGATAACTTTTTGGATTATTTTTCTAGGAGCGATCCGTAACAAAACTCTCTCTCCCACGCTAATTGTGGAGACCTTTTAGTTTCCGGTTTGTGAGAAAAGAGGAAGAAAGCAATCTTTTGTTTCTTTTTTTATTTTATTTTTTTCCCTTTCGGTTACACTGCTGCTTAAGGAAACTTTTTTCATTTTTCAAAGTATATGATGTGGGCAGTCCCATAAAATTTGCATTTTCTATTTCGCATTCCCCATCGCCGCTCTAATAAATAGCATGCAACAACAATTACTATTTTAAACTTATAAATAGATACAACCCCAAACTGAGTTAAATTTATGTAAAAAATGCATTGAAAGAGAAAAAAAAAAAAAAAAAAAAAGGAACTTACAATTATTGCTGCTCCGAGCTCTCTCTTTCAACTTCATCCTCATTAGTTTCGTTGTCTAGCAATTGACATTAAAATGGAAAGCATTAGCAGAGACATTTCTTATAGAAATTCAAGGGCAAATTTTCATGCAAATAATAAAAATACATAGTTTTTTTTTTTTTGTTAAAAATAAAAATACATAGTTGACTACTACTATCCTCAAAAAATACATCTGATAAACTGATTCGGTCACGTGCAACAAAATTGTATAGTTCAGGGGTTATTTGCACTTTTGGTAGTTCAGGGGAGTTTATTGCAGATGCCAGGGGGATTTTTTTGCATTTAACCCTTCCATTTATTTCGTTACAAGAAATTTTTTAATTTTTTATAATTTTTTGATCTGGCCCAATTAATCCAATACTTTTATTCTAATCACAATTATTTTGGGATAATAAACAAATGAATATTTAAGAAACTACCCCAAACTGAGGCCACCAACAACAAATTTATAATTTATGTAAAAAATGCATTGAAAGACCACCAACAACAAATTTATAATTTATGTAAAAAATGCATTGAAGGAGAAAAAAGGAACTTACAGTTTGTGTGTTATAATTGCTGCTCTGAGCTCTCCCCTTCAGTTTCATCCTCATTTGTTTCGTCAACTAGCAATTGATATCAAAATGGAAATTCAAGGACAAATTTTCATACAAATAATAAAAATACATAGTTGACTACTACTATCATCAGAAAATAAAACTTATAGTCTATATCATTTTTCTTATTAGAATTTTATCAACTCTATATTTACCTCTTGGCCGTTCTCAATACAAATGATCTCTGACTTGTTTGCTCAAGGGTCTTGTGAAGATGATGACCGAAGAAACTTGTGCCTCCAGATGTGGTCCCAATTTGGTCACAATTATGAACAGAGATGTGATTTAAGGATGGCAATTGAAAAGCAATATTATTTGGCTCACAAAAGCTTCTGAGGTTTGGTAGCCTTTTGAGACCCAGATCCTCTAACCTAGGGAAAAGAATTACTATTTTATCTCTACCATCTTCTGCTCCTCCTTCTTCATTTCTCACTATTTCTTCAATCGAATCACAGTACATAATAGTTAGTCTCCGAAGTTGGGTGAGACCTGTTGTTGCTATTGAGAGTGAGAATAAATATTTCAGGCTTTTGCAAGAATGAACTCTCAAAGTTGTTAGGTTGTTGAAGACCAGAAATCCCTGTCTTACTATGGCATTAAGTCCTTCACGGTTGAAGGCTACTACAGCTTCTAATGACCAGCACTCAAACAGAGTGAGTTCTTCAACAGCTTCAAACCTCTGTAGCAGGTTAGGAGGAAATTTTACTAATTTCCTGTTTTGAGCTACCTGCAAGACTCTTAGTTTGCTAGAGGAGCTCGCTGGAATCTGGGCAGTCCAAATATGTTCAAAGAGGCTCCCATCAGAGAGTCTCAGTTCCTCCAACATTGGAAATGTAACCTGTAAAAAAATCAATCACTCAGTACGCCCATGCATACGTACCTATTTCCATCAAATAAAAAGCAATAAAGATAATACTATTGAATTCCATTCCCAAATTAAAGATGGATCACAGGCTTGACTCTTCAGTATTTTAAATAGCTCCGGTTTGGTTTGGCTCGCCTCGTCTAATAAAAACAGCCAACCTTGATATATTCGTGTTCGGCCTTGATTTTCACACTTGTTCAAGATCACTTTGGCTCGTTCATGAGCCTTCGTTTCATGAATGTTACAACTTAAATGAGTTTAAAGAGTTGAGCCTAACAATTTTCGGAATTGGCTTGTTTATTTAATAAGCAAGCTCAAACCAAGCTTTGAAGGAGCTGATTCCACAGACTTATTTACAGCTGTACTAACTTGTGAATGAGTTGGGACAAGTAGACCCAACAAGGAGAAAGGTTTGATTGTATATAAAGGGCAACGAAATTAATATTTTACTATATGACTTTATATATATATATATATATATTCCTTCTTAATTTCTTATATACAAAATGTATGTGTGTGTATATATACTAGCAAAAACCATGTGCGATGCACGTGATCTAAGAGTTATTTTATAATTTTAATTAAATATAATTGAGTTTGTGACTTTGTGTACTTTGATTCCTGCATATAAAATGTAATTAAGATACTATGATTCCTTTCTTTGTTTAGGAGAGAATTCGATTTCAAATATAATTATTGATTAAAATTTTCATATAAATTATAAATACATCAAATTAAAAAAATAAAAGTTCGACACAAAAATTTTGAAGAATATTGATAAAAAAATATATTAAAATTATGAATTATGAATGAACAAAAAATAAAAAATAAAGAAATAAAGAAAAAAAATCACAATCCAAAGTAAACTTACCAAATCAACCACTTCTAAACATCAATTACAAAGAGAAAAATAAAAATAAAACAAAAGAGAAAAATAATAATGCTTTTAAAAAGAAAAAGTAAAGAAAAAAATTAACAATCCAATTCTCAATACAACAAATTAAGAATAACAAATTTTGAACCATCCAAAGTAAACTTATAAAGAGTAAAATAAAAATAAAAACTAAAGAAAAAAGAAGAATGATACTTCTGAAAAATAAAAAGTAAAGAAAAAAAATAACAATAATAACTCAAAATAATAATAAATTAGGAATGAACCAAAAATAATAAAATAAAAAAAATGAAGAAAACAAATCACAATCCAAAGTAAACTTACCAAATCAATCACTTCTAAACATACCTTATCATTTTTTGAGCAAAATAAAGAGGTTATTGGGTGGAGTCTGGTTGATTTGAAAGAAATTAGTCCCACAATTTGCATGCATCAAATGAGTTAAACTTACCAGATCAACAGCAACTATTACTACCTTTTCAAAATGTAGTTATATCACCTATTCACCAGATCTAATATATATATACATGTTATATGTGATAGAGTTTTATAATTTTATAGAAATTATTTTATTTTCTTTAAATATATCATTGTCTAATTAGATTTTCTTTTATTTGAATTTATTAGGTAATTAATAAATATTTTTTTTAGAAACAAATAGATAAATAGGTAATTTGAATTTTATTAAGTAATTTGTAAGTTTAATTTATTAGGAAATTTGGAAGTGGTGATTGAGTTTGAGTTGAATTTTATTAGGTAATTTGTATCTTGAATTAAACTCTTTTTATATAAACTATTTTTATATCAATTAATAAATATTTTTTTATATAAATACTGAAATAAATTTTTAGGTAATATGTAATTTAAATTTTATTAGGTAATTGAAAAGTGGTGATTGAGTTTGAGTTGAATTTTATTAGGTAATTTGTTATTTGAATTAAACTCTTTTTTTATCAATTAATAAATAAACTCTTTTTATATCAATTAATAAATATTTTTTTATACATTTTGTGTTAGAGTTTTATAGGAACTCTTTTAATAATAGTATTGACTTTTTTTTTAGAAATAGGTAATATTTTTTTTTTATATTTTGTGTTAGAGTTTTATAGAAACTCTTTTAATAATAATATAAATTTTTTTTTTTAGAAACAAATAGATAAATAGGTAATTTGAATTTTAATAGGTAATTTGTAATTTGAATTTTATTAAGTAATTTGAAAGTGGTGATTTGAATTTTATTAGGTAATTTGTAATTTGAATTAAGCTCTTTTTATATCAATTAATAAATATTTTTAAAAAAACAAATAGATAAATAGGTAATTTGCGTTAGAGTTTTATGCGAACTCTTTTTATAAAAACTCTTTTTTATATTAATTAATAAATATTTTTTTGAATTAAACTCTTTTTATATCAATTAATAAATAAACTCTTTTTATATCCATTAATAAATAAACTCTTTTTATATTAATAAATAAATATTTTTTTGTATTTTATCAATTAATTTGAATTTTATTAGGTAATTTGAAAGTGGTGATTTAAATTTTATTGGGTAATTTGTAATTTGAATTTTATTAGGTCATTTGAAAGTGTTGATTGAGTTTGAATTGAATTTTATTGGGTAATTTGTAATTTAAATTAAACTCTTTTTATATCAATTAATAAATATTATCTTAGAAACCAATAGATAAATACGTAATCTATGTTAGAGTTTTATAGAAACTCTTCTTACATCAATTAATAAATATTTTTTTTTATATTTTGTGTTAGAGTTTTATAGAAACTATTTTAATAATAATATAGATTTTCTTAGAAATAGTTAATATTTTTTTATATTTTGTGTTAGAGTTTTATAGAAACTCTTTTATTAATAGTATAGATTTCACAAATAGATAAATAAGTAATTTAAATTTTATTAGGTAATTTGTAATTTGAATTTTATTATTAAACTCTTTAAATAATTTTTTAGGTAATTTTTTTTAAAAAAAAAACTCTTTTTATATCAATTAATAAATATATCTTTTTATAAAATCTTTTTTTATATAAATTAATAAATATTTTTTATATATTAATAAATAAATAATTAAATACTGAAACATTGAAACTCTTTGCACTTTTAATAATAGTATATATATATATATCATGTACATTTCAATCACTGGTCCAATATTACCTAATGGACTCTTCCTCGACCAAGCCAAGAACTTTTTGAATTTTCATATGGGTTTTCTAGTTTTGTTTTCAGGCTTTTGATTCTATTTTGAATCCCTAATTGATATTTTATAGCCAATACCATAAAAAATAAAATAGAAAAAAATAATTTTTACAAGGAAACAATAGGTATTGAGCCCTACATTTAAGGATAACTCACCAGCATATTTGTCTCTCTTGTATACTTACAGTGTAGATAAATGCATATATTCACACAGTACAAAAAATATAAATAAATACTTAAATCAGTTACAACAATAGTTTTATTAAAATATCTTCCATGTAGATAGCAACGTTTTATATGAACTTTAACTAAAAAAAAAAAAAAAACCGTTTTATATGACGGTTAATGGGCCTGTTATTGGGCTCCCCTAAAGAACATTAATTTAGAAAGCAACATTTTATCTAATGGGCCTGTTATTGGATTCTCCCTTTTGTCTTTTTGGGCTGCCTTTATTAACTTGGGTGCATGGACTCTTTTTGCAAAGCCTGCCTGTTAGGCCATCCTATATTCCTCTTGTTCATAAATATATACTAGTAAAAGAGTCTTAATAAAAAAAGAGGAAAATAATAGAGAAGACGAAATATAAAACGCCAAAAAGTTCCCGAATTTTATATGGCTAGACCACGTCAAATAATTAAAAAGGAAAAAAAAAAGTTTCTCTTAATTGTAAAACAGAAAGAAAAAAAAATACAAATAAAAAAGAAAAAGAAAAAGAAAAATAGACTTCATCAGCTTCCCTCACAAACCCAAAAACTAAAACGCTTGGTGGGGGAGAATAAGAAGATGTACAATGTCAGCAACGCCCATTGTTCTTGTCCATTGTTCTTGTTGGAAGTCTTCTCTTTCTGGAGTGCTGGGTTTTGGAGGTAAGACTATTAATTTTACAATTTTAAAACCCTAGGGACCTATATTACGGATTGAAGCCCTAATTTTATGTGCAATCTTGCTTAGACTCTGGACGTAGATGTAGTATTTTTTTCTCTTTCAAGAAACAAGATGATAAGATTTTTATAAGATTTTGGATTATTTTTCTTTGAGCGATCGGTAACAAAGCTCTCCCTCCCACACTAATTGTGGAAACTCTTTCCATTTTTTAAAGTAAATGATGTGGCCAGCCACGTAAGACTGGAGAACTTTTGGCATTTTATATTTCAGGTCCTTATCATCGCTCTTAAAAAAATTATCAAAATAACTTCTCTTTTATAAATAATTAATTAGCAACTTCTTTGACTAATTGAAACTTTAAATATTTATGAACCCAAATATTTTGTGTTTTGCACATTCATTAGTCAAAAAACAAGATTTCTAAGAGTATAGATTAAAATTTAAGGGATTACAATTTCTCAACTAAATAATTCTTAATTATGAATTTTTTTTTTTTCCTCTCTAAGAGTATAGATTAAAATTTAAGGGATTACAATTTCTCAACTAAATAATTCTTAACTATGAAATTAGTTGTTCTTCTTCATTTTTTTTTTTTTTTTTTTTTTTTTTTTTTTTCATGATATATATGCGTACCTTGCGGTTGAAAAAGAGAGCTTGTAGTTGGGAAATGCCTTGCTCCGATGTTTCTTCTTTTTTAGAACCATGGCTTTGGCAAAAACTTTTCAAGCTTGGCAACTTTTTAAGACTCAAAATCTTCAACTTAGTGAACATAGCAATCTCATGACTTGTGTCTGCTTCTTCTCCTTGTCCTATTCTGAATGCGACTATCCTTTCTATCTTCTCACAATCTTCTACATGTAATTGTTGGAGATGCTCAAAGGAATTTTCTGCTTCTTGGATTGGGAGTAATTGTTTGTCCCATATAGCGGTAATGCTACTTAATTTTTCAATGATCAATATCTCCAAGACAGGAAAAGTAACCTGTAGTTCATTAATTTATTAAATTTTGTAAATTAATGAACATGTATAAGATTTTAACTACCAAAAAACCACAAATGTATACGATTTTTTTCACACATTCTTTAAGAATCAAGATACTCCACTATGTATCATCAACAACCACAGCACAACTTGGGAATTGAGGATACAACAATGCCATATTTGTCTCTCTTAATTAGCTAGTTACAGTCTACTATAAATACATAATATATATATATATATATATATATATATATATGTATATTTTGGTTCTATGTTCACACAAAATATAAATAAATAATTCAATTACTTCCATTATATATCTTGCAATCTATTTCGTCTACCATCCAAACCCAAGTTAGATTCAGGCAGCGAGGGCTTTTATTTAAGGAGAAAAAAAATCATAATAATAAAAAATGCATTTCCCAAAACATGTATTCTTGCTATTCATATAACAACTAGTAAAAAAATTGTCGGGGAAAGTAAGGTCCTAACCCAAGATTAAAAATTAAAATAGGCTAAACTACCAAACAAATAATAATAAATAAATAAATAAAGAAAAGAGATAGAGAGAGAGAGAGAAAATCATCACAGGCTATGATCATAAAATCAACAATATGAAAGTTACTCACAAAAATGAAAAAGAAAGAGATAACAAAAAGGGTAACAAAATTTTAATGAAGTATTTACCGAAAAATAAATATTTAATCAATATTATTCCATGCAAAATGACATGTATTTTATTTTTAATTTTTAAAGAAACTCTTGGGTAATAAGCTTGTTCAATTATATATGCATTTATATAGTTTAAAATTTAAATCCTAATAGGACTTTTTTTTTTTTTTTTTTTTTTTTTTTTTAATTTAGGTTTTTTCTCAATTTGTATCAAAATTTTAATTCATCTTTGCTGTTAATTTTGGTTTTCAAAACTCAATTAGATTAATAGGTCGACAAGGAATCAACTAAAGTGTTCATGGAATATATATATATATATATATATATATATATATATATATATATGTAAATAGAGCATACCTTTTCATTAAAAAGAGCTTGTTCAATGGTGGATGTGTTGCACTCTGAAGTTGATATCTTCTTTGTATTGGAATAGATGCTTCTGAGGTTTGACAGAGAGTCTAATCGCATGACCTTTAACTGATGAAAAATAAGTTTATCCACGACTTCCTCATCACCTCCAACTATTTCTTCCAACATCTCACAATTTTTAATTATGAGCTTCTGCAGATTTGAAAGACCGCTTGCCGTAGAAGGAGAAAAGAGATACTTGATTGATCCACATTTTCCAACTTCTAATTCACTCAGTTTGCCAAAAGAACCCAATGGGCATGGTCCATGAGGTTTTCCTAGTAGATGATGTTCCATGTCAACCCATTTCTCAACTACAAGAGACTTCAACTCTAAAAACCACTCTCTGTCTATGTGGTGAAGCACCTTCTTTGCACCTTCCGAATTAAGCAAATATAGTACTTCAACATTCTTCATCAAAACGTTATACTCAACCTTCCAAGGAACATTCTTGAGTCCCAAGATCTTTGTTTCCGTGTATTCACGATTGCACCGATACTCATCCATCCAATCAGGAAACCCAATCCAAATGTGAAATGTTGTCAACGATTGAAAGCTGGGCAGTAAGATGATATGTTCTGGTATCCAAATATGCAAAATATGCAAACTGTTTAAGCTACTCAAACAATGTAGCTCCGCAATACTCACATTGCCTTTGTTAACCCGTTTCTCAAATCTCAACGGAAGGTACAATTCCTCCAGGCCGGATAGATGTGATAGGACGCCCGACTGAAATGTTTCAGCCATCTGACAATTACATTTTCTCAAATCCAACGAACGCAGATGATGTAATTGTCCTACTTCATCAACCATCAGTTTATGTTTGAAATCATAATCATCATACCCCCGCATAATCACTCCAGGCTCGACATAATAATCATCAATCCTCAGTATCTCAAGCTTTTTAAAATTTTTTAGGAAAGATAGATCCACCAGCTTGCATTTGCGCAAACGTAACATCCGAAGATTAACCAAATTTGAAAGTGATGATTGTAGTAGATTTATTCTATACAAATCCAGAATTTCAAGCTTTTCCATCAATTCAAAAAAGCTACTCGGGAGTTCTAGTTCTAAACCATCAGTGGTGTTGCATCCCAACACTAGCGTACGTAGTTCTCGGCAAACTAACTGATACGGAAGCTGACCAACATCGTGGGAAGTCCTTAATGATATTGCCATGCAACATCTATAATCATCATTTTCAGGCCAAACATTGACAGCATCTTTTACGAGAAACACATTCGGATCTTTTGATGCAATTAAAATAGCAACATCTCGAATTACGTCATGCAATTTAACGAAATTTTCATCTTTACCTTCCAACAATAAATTAGATTTCTTGAGGATACTAACCAACGTTTTTGCCCTATCTCTTTTCTTTTTCATTGTATCCAAGCCTCGAAGAAACCCCGTTCCTACTCCATACTTCACCAAATCATCAATAGAAATTTCTGTATCTTCTGAAAACAAACAACAATGTAGAAAGCATAACTGTAGATCTGTTTGCTTCAGATAGTCATAGCTCCACTCTATGTTTGAATATAGTTTTTCTGGCACTCCCTCAATTTTATATCCCTGAGAATTCCTCAATTGTTCATGTGCATCATCCCACATGTGCTTTCCTTTCTCACCCTTCAGTGCTGCTCCAATTGCAAGAATTGCCAAAGGCAAACAGCCACATTCTCTACACACTTTTCCTGCTACAGAAAGCATTTCCCGATCAGCTTCAATATAATCTCCCACAGTTCTTTTGAATAGTTTCCAAGCTTCAGGTTTCGATAGGAGCCCAATTTCGAAGTTTTTTTCAAACCCCATCCGTCTGCACACTTCTAGCCTTCGCGAGGTAAGCAAAATCTTGCAACCCTTGCTATTGTCTATATCATCTGGAATTCCGATTTTCTTCAGTGTAGTCTGATCATCCCAAACATCATCCAATATTACAAGGATTTTTCTTCCATTCTTCAATCGATTGCGTAGTTCACCCGCACTGCCTTCTTCACTTTCTTTAGTTAGTGTCAGATTTAAGCAGTCTGCAAGTTTTACTTGGATTTTTCTCAGATCTGGAGTTTGGGAGAAAACTGCCATTGCAACCTCATCAAACAGGCCCTTTTCAGCTTGTTTTCCAACTTCTTCCACCATTGTTGTCTTTCCAACACCGGGCATTCCATATATTCCAATTTTGTAACTACCGCTATCTTTCATCGCCTCCATGATCTCGTTAAAAACCGAATTTCTGGATTCAAATTGCTCAAAATTTGTGGACGAGACATTCCAAATATCAGTGAGACGAGGAGAATGTGCAAGTCTCTCAAACTTGCCTTCATCTTTTAGACCAGTAACATCCAAAGTCTTCTTTTTCCCTTCCCTACCAAGCTGATGCCTTGAGCAAACATCAAGACAACACAGGTTTTGTCTGTCTTGCAATAACTTCTTCTCTTCTTCAAACGTGATCAACGACCTCTCTACTTTCTCCAGCCACTTCGAAACATCTTCCTCCACAACCATCCCATTGTCCCTGGCCATTTCGACATCGTCTTGGACCTTCTTCAAACAAGCTCTGAGATTCTCAACTTCATCTTCAAAATTCTTGATGTTGTGTTTGTAGTGAAACACATAACCAATTTGACGCCGAGTGGATGTGAACAAAAGCTCTATCATTGGCTCTAACATTTTTCCCACAATAGTATTAACAACCTCCATTTTCAACTCACTAGCTATCTACCCTTTTTTGGGGATGATATGATGAAGAGTTCCAACAGAAAAAACTAAAATTCAACCAACACACGAGAAAGGAAAGTACAGGAAAGCAAAGATTCAAGAGAGAAAGCTTACTCAAATTTTGCAGAAAAGTCAAAATTTGAGTTCACAGACAGACAGACAGACAGAGTGCGTCAAATTCAAGAAAGATTGGAAGCAAACATAGAAGGAAGGAAAAAGAAAATGAAGGAGATGACGCAGTACAAAAGTTTTTCTCTTTTTTTTTTTTTTAAATTTTATTATAAGGAAGCAATACAAAAAAGATAGTACAAAACAAATGCAAGCAAATTTATTTATTTTTGATAAAATTAAGAAAGCAATAGAAAATATATGTTGAGAAAAAGCTAACTCAAATTTGCAGAAAAGTCAAGAGGGTGAGAGTACTAGTAGATATTGCAGGTAGAGAGGTTTGAGTTCACAGATAGAGAGAGCGCTACAAATTCAAAAGCTAGAAGATGACTTCAAGAAAGATTAGAAGCACAAAAGGAAGGAAAAAGAAATCGAAGAGATGATGCAGTACAAAAGTTTTTTTTTTTTTTTTTTTTTTTTTACAAAACAAGAAATACAAAAGAGATTACAAAACAAATGGCAGCAAATTTTTTTTTTTTTTTTTAAATTTTATTTATGAAATAAAGAAAGCAATGGAAAAGATAATACCTCTAGCTTATGGATTTTGTTGGATGGAGCTAGTAAACGTGTTTCAAATCCAGCATTAACAAACACACCAAGTTCGATTTTCTGAGTGAGAAACAAGTAAAAGAAAAGTGAAGGCTGACAAGGAATTTCACAAAAGAAGAGAGATGGAAATTCTGATTTAAGAGAACCAATTCAAAAAGACAAGTGAACCCAGGAAGAAAATGGCACAAGTGTGGAATATGATGATAGAGCAGAAATTGCGAGATTGGAGATGGCGAGTAGAGAATGAGACGGAAATCAAAAACCAATGGTAGCAACAAAGGTTTACCAACCGAAAAAAAAAAAAAAAAAAACAAATGTAATTGCAATAAACCCTTCCAAGTTTTGTCAATATACACCAAATTCCTTTTTATTTGTCAAATTACATTGACTCCCTTGTTAGAAAACTACCCATATCCCCATCTTCATTGACATAAAAGGGTCTCCAACCCGTCCTAAACGGGGGTGGGGACACAGCTGGGATGGGAATTTTGCCATCCATATGTACAAATATTAATAAAAACAAAAATAAAATGATTAAATTGGAAGAAAATTATCATAAAAGAAAGTGAAGCAAATGGAAGGCTTAAATTTTTCATTGTGTATTTATTTAGTGTGAATATAAAATTATCATTTTATTTTATGATTTGAATAATATGAACTTACCATAAAAGAAATGGCATTGTTATAAATTCATAAAACTTTTTTAAGAAATCACAATACCAGTGATTTTTAGAGGAAAATTGTTTGAGACACAATTAGGTAATTATAGAAGTAATTTTTCCTCAATTTCTTTCTTTCCTCCTAACCAAACTTTTGAAGTGGAAAAAAATACTTGTTTGGAGTCAGTAGACCAGAACCAATAGAGCAACAAAAATATAAGGAAAAAAAAAAAAATACCCTATATAACTGCATATCACCACTAATAAATGGCAAAAGAGATATAAAAGATAAAAATAAAAAAAACTTGAAACCAATCTGTTCAATACATGTGGATCGCCATTTATAACTTGACCTTGTGTATTTGCAATGATAAAAAATATAAAAAAGAAATAAAACATACATGTGGACAAGTATTTTTTTTTTTTTTTTTTCCTTTGTAGGCGAATAAGTGAAGATATAAAATTTGATTGATTTTGTTAGTCTTCCAATAAAGCAGTCCTTATACTTCTAAATCATATCTAACTTTATAATTTATATGATTATATATTTGTCTTGCGAAAGGAGATCACTAGTCCAAAGACACTCGCAACTCACAAAATACCTCCCTTTACATCTCTAAACCAATTAATGTATGACTATTTTTTCGAATTCTTGCAATTAATATTTTAATGTCCGCGGATATGACTCTTTATATGCACAAAAGTTAAAATTTCTAAGTGGACAATTATTACAAGTGATTTTATCCTACATTAAATTTGGACAAAAAAAAATAATTGAATATATATAAATTAGGTATTAGTACTGTCTAATAAGGCTTAATAATCATACCAAATGTCCTAAAAATAATGATATGACAACTTTTATAATAAATTAAATTAATCATTGTTAATTGCGCTCCTCGAGATGGAACAATTCAACTAATGTGACCAAATGAGTCAAAAATAAATTAATTATTATACGGCAACTTTTACAAAATTAAATATTATTTAGGATGTTAATTGCATTCAAGATGAGACAATTCAACTAATGTGACCCAATCGGGGACGGAACTAGGATTTGATTTCAAAGGGACGTAGTGTATTTGTATTTGACGAGATTAAAAAAAACTCAACTAACCTCTTAATTTTTTTTTTCACATCAAAAGGCAAATAAAAAAAAAATCATAGCAAAATCACAAAATTTTCAAGTAGAGATTTAAAAAAAAAAAAAAAAAATGGTAGTGATTTAAACAAATAATTACCTACTCATAATGAGAAAACAAGATTCTGTTTAATTATTTCGATCTTAAATTAACAAGCAAACAAGATGTTTTTCGATAATGAGAAAAAAAATTCAAATAAAAGAATTTATTGTTCAACTGAAAAAGGATAAAATTAAAATGTCTGACAAATACAAGAACCAAAATGTAAATTGAAACCATAGTTTTTGAAATTGAAATCCAAAATTGTTGACCCACATATTGTAAACAAAATGATGTATAATATATTTACAATGAAAATAGAGATGTGCAACTCAAATCTCAATCATGTGAAATTCATGTAAAACGGTGAATGTACAAATAATTATACAACTGATTTAACAGGATTATCTATATATTAACTGTTCCAAACTTCCAATCATGTGAATAGTGTGAAATTCTTTTTTTTTTTTTTTTTTTTAAATTGTTTAAAATAAAATAAGTTTTACCGGTAAATGATGTAAATTAAAAAGTGAATTTTTATGAAATAAGTTTTCCAAAAACAGATGACCAGGATTTATTTTTTTTACAGAATAAATAATGGAACAAATGGAGGTAACATTGAGTGGAGCAAAAGCAGATAAATTTCAATTATATTAAATATAAAATAAAAAGAATGAAACCACGTAGAGTTGCATTGCAGGTAATGGGGAAGAATGTTTTGCTAGGTAAATGACAAAATCACCCCTTCATATATATATATCTATATATATATATATATATTTCTTTTTTGAGGGGCGGCATGTTTGAATTTTAAGAAATATATTATTTAATAATAATTTTTTTTTTTTTTTTTTTTTTGAGGGAGGGGCGCATGTGTCTCCGATTACACTGTCCCTCCGCCCCTGGACCCAATGAGTAAAGAAATAAATTTAACTTACAACTTGTATAAAGTTTATTTATTTTTCAAAAGAAAACAAGATTAGGTGACTTCATATGACTATATTATAATGTGATCTTATAAGGGCATGAAAGAAACTTACATTTATTTATTCTGTTCTCAGTTTTGTTCGTGTGATGATCTTGTGGGCGGGTGCGAGAGATATTGTCAGACTACTACATTGGCGAGTTACGGATGCACAGTCCCACATCGCTTGAGTAAAGAAAAGGTGAAGTGCTTATATGGAAGTGTGTCATCTCTAATTAGTATGAGACCTTTTGGAGTAAAACTCAAGAACAAAGTCTGTGAGCGAGTGTGCCGTATTCTTGAATCAGTCTTGGGTTAATTAATTTTACTATTGCATATGTCGGATTGCTAATTAATCTTAGGTCTTCATATTATCTAGTAATTAATTTCGTCCCAATAACTATAGAGAACAAAATAACAAATATCTAGAATTTAACTAAATTCTTACCTTTCATGCAAGTCTTTCTTGTCATCAACCTGTGAAACTGGTGGGGAGATCCCCATCCTCAGTTCCGGTGAATTTTTTTTACTCCCATATTTGGTGAATTAATAAAAGGTTATCCGCTAAATTTTAAATTATTCTCACATGTTATATAAAATATATATATATATCTAAAGGTTTTTTGGCAAACTTACAATATAAACGAGTTGGACTGGGTATGTTTATCCTATCCCCATTTGCGTTTAGAGGACTACTTATATTACCTTCTCCATTGACATAAAAGGGTCTCCAAAACCGTCCTAAAAACAAGAATTAATAAAAACAAAAATAAAACAAGAATTAATAAAAACAAAAATAAAATAGTTAGATTGGAAGAAAATTAACATAAAAAAAAGTGAAGCAAATGAAAGGGGTAAATTTTTCATTGTGTATTTATTTAGCATGAATAGAAAATTATCATTTTATTTTATGGTTTGAATAATATGAACTTACCATAAAAGAAATATATGTTATAAATTCATAAAACTTTTTTAAGAAATCACAATATCACAGAACTTTTTTAAGAATCACAATATCTGTGATTTTTAGAGGAAAATTGTCTGAGACAATTAGGTAATTATAGAATTAATTCTCCTCAATTTCTTTCTTTCCTCCCAACCAAGCTTTTGAAGTGGAAAAAAATAAATTGTTTGGAGTCAGTAGACCAGAACCAATAGAGCAACAGAAATATAAGAAAGAAACACACACTATATAATTGCATATCACCGCTAAAAAATGGCAAAAAAGACATAAAAGATAAAATAAAAAAAAATTTAAAAATAAAAAGCTTGAAGCCAATCTGTCTTTCCTTTCTTCTTGCAACTTATATAATTAATTACTCTTGAAAATAAAAAAATCTAAAAAATTAATTAAGTAAACCACGGATGTTAATGGCATTGGTGAACATCGACAAGGTTCATGTGGACTGCTATTTATGACTTGGCATTTGTGCTTCTGCGCTGCCATTTATGACTTGGGCT